CCAGCAGCAACAACAGGAGCCACGGGCGGAGCAGCCTTGGCCAGCGCTTTGCCGAGCAGGTCCGAGAGGATCTTGGAAGCCCCAGCTCCCAAGGCCTTGCCGGCTGCGCTGCCCTCGAGCACCTCCGAGACGATCTGCTCCTGCCGGGCGGCGTCGAGGGCCGGCTCGCCGCTGCCTGCCTGGGCCACTTGCTTGACAGCCGAGGTGACCTCGGCGTTGGCAGCCGTGATGGCCTGCTCGACACTGGCGAGGTCGGTCGCCAGCTCGGCTTCCTCGGCGAGGCACTTGTCCAAGGCGGCCCTGGCCTCCTTGACTGCCTCTGCCTTCTCCACCTTCGACTTCTCGAGGCGCTCCTTCTTGCTCTGCAGGCGGAGGAGCTTCCCGTTGAGGGAGATGACCTGGCTCTGGGGCGACTTCGCCTCGAGCCGCTTCTTGCGCAGCGCCCCCAGCTGCGCCTCAACGGCTGTGACGAGCTCCCCTTCGATCTTGGCCTTCTTGTAGCCGACGAGCGTCGCCTCCAGGACCTCGATCTGCATGAGCAGAGGGTCGTCGTCTGGCGCGGCCTCCTCGGGCTTCGGCGCCGGGTGCGACTGACCAGGGCCCTTCTTGAGCTCGGCCACCTCCTTGCGCAGGGCCATGATGGCTGCGGTGAGGTCGGCACCCCCCACTCCGCCACCCTGCCCTTTGTGAGACCCGCCACCGCCCTTCTCGAGCTTCTCGTGGGCCTCGCGCGCCTTCTTGGCCACTCCAGCGGGCGCCTTGGCCCCGCAGGCGCAGACCACCCGGCAAGCCCAGTTGGCCGTGCGGTCGCACTTCCCGCACGCCCACGTCGGGAGCTTCGGCCCACGCAGCACTGCCTTGCTCGCGGGAGGAGGCCCCATGACTGGCTGGAGAGCGGGCTGGGGGCTCGATCAGTAGGGATCGTGAGTGCGAAATAGCCTCCTGGAGGCAGGCCGCCTGGCGACCTTGAGCCAAAATGGCTACGGAGTGGTCCGTCATCAGAGCCATAGCGCAGGGATTGGGAGGCTTGCTCTCAGCATCTCAGGGCAGGAGGTCAGAGAAGATAGCCCAAGGTGCCCCAAGAAGGCCCGATAGTGGCGCGAGAGGCGCCACGAAGGGTTTACGACGGCCCCGAGATGGGGAGGAGGAGGAGGAGGAGGAGGAGGAGGAGGAGGAGGAGGAGGAGGAGGAGGAGGAGGAGGAGGAGGAGGGGGAGGGGGAGGGGGAGGGGGAGGGGGAGGAGGAGGAGGGGGAGGGGGAGGAGGAGGAGGCGGACCCCCTCCCTCTCCTACTTACGGTGGCCTTGGTGGAAAACAAACCCACCATCGAGGCTGGGCCTTTTTCGCTCTTCTCGGCGAGGACCATCGATCGCGAGCGGCCAAGAGGGGGGTGATGACTAGGAGGGGGGTGGATCTCATGGCAAGGGCCATGATCTTTGCCCAGCTTTCGTGGCCCCCCTCTCATTTCAATGCGTTCCCTGGCCCCCCCCGGTTCGAGCACGTGCCTCGGGCCATGAGTTGCGCCCCCCCCTTGGGTGCCCCCCTCCTGGCCGCCCCAGATCGCTCGGGCATGTGCTCTCTCTTCTCGGCGAGGCCCTTCGAGACAGGGCCCTTTTCGATTCCTCCGACCCCCTTCGGTTCGGCTTCGATGTGCTCCCATAGTCCGATTCGGCTCGGCACTTCGGATCCCGAGCCGGCCTCCGCCGCTCTCTCAGCGGAGACCCTGCGGCCTGCCGCTTCCCTCCGATCCGACTTTTCCCGACCTGGCCGTCGAGTCCCGCAGAGACGATTCCTGCCGATCGCCTACCCGACGTGACTTCTCGACTCGATCCTGGGCTGTCCTGTCGAGGAGCATATCCTGGATCGCCGAGCATCAACAAGAAAACACGCAGGACATCGAAACATGCACGGGAGAGTGGCGATCGTTTTTTTTCCCCTGTTTTGCCGATCGGCGCGTGCCCCCAACCCCCCCCTCTCTCATGGAGTAGGTCTTGGCTGCTTGTTTGCCGCCTGTTTCGAGCAGGTGGGGTCGCTCCCACAGGACGCACTGGTGCAAACAGTCGCAGTAAGCAGAGGTCCGGAGCCAGAGCCCCCCCCCTTTCCGCCCACTGTCGAAAACGCTCACGTGGACGTCCGAGCGGTGGCGCCTCCTCGCAGAGGGCCTCGCCGGCCACGAGCCGGCCACGAGGTTCGGCGAGGCGGGGCAGCCACTGCGGGCGCCCCCGCGAGGACCGCCGCGGCCGCGGCTGGGCGCGGGGCGCGGCCCCGTCGTGAGGTCGGGTGCTGCCAGGAGTGCCCCTGGCCCAAGGTGCCCCCCAGGGTCAAGTCGGGCATATGGCCCTCTACAGGGGGAATCGATCCAAGAGTAGTTAAAGCAGATAGTATGGGAGCGATACGTTTCGTGATCTTCTGAGTCTGCTTGATAATATTTCGACTCAGTGTAAAAACATGTTTTTTTTCCAGACTCTGCCTAAAGGAGGACGTGCCTGACCAAACCCAAG